TTCTTTTATATCTTCTTATTAAAATTTAAATATATAATATTTATAAATAAAATAATTCTTTTATTTTCTATTAAAATTTAAAATATAGAGAGTAGTTTACGCTATCTAATGCTAAAAGAATTATAAAATTTAATATTATAATTATTAAGAAGTAAAGAGCTTAAATATCGTTTATTAAAGTTCGTTTATTAAATATCGCTTATTAAATTTACTCGATAGCTCTAATTAGAAAAAAATATAAATTTAATTTATAGACCTTTACTCGTTAATTTTAAAAAAAGAATTTTATTATTATATTTAATCTTTTTTTTTAATTATTATCTAATTCTTTATATTAAATATCGCGATATATTAATATATATAATAGAATAAGATAGAGTTAAGCTTAAAAATATTAAATTTATATATATAGTTAATTATAAATTTAGAGTTACTACGCTCTTTAATTAAATCGATTAAATTATCGCGAGTAAATATATTAGCGTTCGTAATTATTAACTATTAAAAAAAATATAGATTATTAATATATAGTATAACCTTTTTATTTTCTATTAAATTTTTAAATTTTCTTTTATTAAATAGTAATTTCTTTAAATTAATTAATTATATAAATTAATTAGTTTAATAATTTATTTATTTCTTTAATTAAATATAAGATCGTTATATAATCTTAATAGATAATTTTTATAATATATTATCTATATAATAGATTTATCTAGAAATATAATAACTTAACTTAATATCTTATTAAAGTCTCTATTAATAAATTTATTTATTAAATTTATTTATTACATTTATTTATTACATTTATTTATTACATTTATTTATTATATTTATTTATTATATTTATTTATTACATTTATTTATTACATTTATTTATTATATTTATTTATTACATTTATTTATTACATTTATTTATTATATTTATTTATTACATTTATTTATTACATTTATTTATTACATTTATTTATTATATTTATTTATTATATTTATTTATTATATTTATTTATTACATTTATTTATTACATTTATTTATTACATTTATTTATTACATTTATTTATTACATTTATTTATTATATTTATTTATTATATTTATTTATTATATTTATTTATTATATTTATTTATTATATTTATTTATTACATTTATTTATTACATTTATTTATTACATTTATTTATTATATTTATTTATTACATTTATTTATTAATTCGAATATAGTAAGTAAAATAATTTAATTATAATATTAGAATTAATATAAATATAATATAAATATAAATATATTAAATAATATAATTAGATATCGAATAATTTTAAAAATAGAAGATATTAATTAATAGTAGATAACTTTATTAAAATACGCTAGACTTTAATAGATAATAGAGTTAAATAATATATTTAAAAAGATATAGAATATATTTATAATACGAAAAGATAGAAGAAAACGCTATTATAGTATCTTATTAAATAATTCTTTCTAATAGATTTCTTTATAAAATCTTCTTATTTTATATTTAACTTATAAATTTATAATAATAATAGTAATTAATTTTCTACTATTATAATTAAAATATTAAAATTATAATTTAAAATATATTTAAATATAATAAGAGAAAAGAGATAAAAAAAAGATTAAAAAGATTAAAGTAATAAAAGAAATAAAAAAGTTAAAAGAAATAATTAAAGATAAAGATAAAAATAAAAATAGTTATATTAAATATTTAATAAATAAATTAAAATTAGAAAATAGTAATTTCTTATAGAGTCTTAATAGAATTAAAAGATAATTATTATTATATTTAATTTATTATATAGAGTTAATAAATAATAAGCGTTTTAGTATTACGTCGAATTTATTAAGTTTAAGAATATATTAATAAGAGTAATATATAAATAAGAGTAAAAATAATTATTCTATATAGAATTCTTACTAAAATTAATCGAAATAGAAAATAAATAGTTTCTTTTAAATATAACTTTTTACTACGTACTCTAATAAAAAAAAATCTCTATAAAATAACTATTTAAATATCGAAGGGTTAGATTTTTTTTCGATTTTTAATAAAATATCTACTGATCGGAAAGGTATGGTATGGTATAGGATATTGACCTGCCATACCATACTCTGATATAATATGGGATATTGATATTTGCATAATCCCATACCTGGTATAATATGAGATCTTGGCGGGATATCCCACGGTATGATATATCTATGATATTATACCATGGTATGGTATATGTATGAGATATCCCGACTGGGATTTCTATATTTAGAAGTATTCTCGTCATCATTCTGATCAACGGCTCGATAAATCCGACATAATAGCTACTACTACCATGGCTGCCACTACCATGACTACGACTACCATGGCTGCCACTACCATGGCTACCACTACCATGGCTACCTCTCCGAGGCCAGGTCCTAAATACAGTACAAAATCAGGTGGCTGAAGAACACGGTGGCTGGGATGCGCGGGGGTCACATTTCGACAGTAGCCATGGTAGTGGTAGACATGGTAGTGCCAGCCATGGTAGTGCCAGCCATGGTAGTGTCAGCCATGGTAGTGCCAGCCATGGTAGTATATCGAATGGGGGTAGATACGATTAGCCGTTGACCAGAATGATGATTAGAATAGCTACTTTATACTTCTAAATATAGAAATCCCAACGGGATATCCCATACATATACCATTCCATGGTATGATACCACAGATATACCATACCGTGGTATATCCCGCCAAGATCCCGAACCCATACCAGAAAAATGGAATGGTATCCGACCCTATCCATACCATACCCGGGTACGGTATGGTATCACTTGGTATGGAATATTCCATAAGATATATCATATCTTTCCGGCCAGTAAAAATATCTTAATTAATTATTTTTAGAAGATTTAAATTAGAGTTTTAAAAACTATATTTTTAATCTCTCTCTTATTCTTTAATATATATCGAGAAATTTTTAAAAATATTCTTAAAATATTCGTTATATTTATAAGTTTATTTAAGAATATTAATATATATAAAAGAATAAGATAGAATTAAGCTAAAAAATCTTAAATTTATATATATAATTAATTATAAATTCGAGTTCGTTACGCTCTTTAATTAAATCGACTAAGTTAGCTCGCTAGCTCTCTTAAAATCTCTTATTAAAAAATAGATATACGTTATTTATAAATGAAATAACTTTTTTATTTTCTATTAAATTTTTTTTTTTTTTAATTATAGAGCGTAATTTACGCTTTTTAACGCTAATTTTTTTTTAACATTTAATCTTATAGTTATTAATAAGTAAGAAGCTTAAATATTATTTATTAAAGTTCGCTTATTCGTATATACCCGGAAGTGCCCGATACCTGGTAATGCCCGATTTAAAATCCGATAAGTCCGGCGCAACACCAAAATGCCTACCTTTCACCAAAATTCTATGGCAACTCGGCATAATCATGAAGGATAATACTGGACTTCCATTGCTAGCAATATTGATGTATCTAAGAACCTAATTTATCGTTTTTTGGGCCTTATCGGTCTACCGGTTCGTGAAAAAACCGTCGCTACCTCTTCTTCTACCACGTCTTCTTCCACTACCTCTTCTTCTATTACATCTTCTTTAACTACCTTCTTACCTCTTCCGCCCCGCTGTTATTACTATAATGGAGCCTCTGGTGGAGCCTCTGGTGGAGCCTGCGGGGAAGCCTACGGTGGGGCCCGCCACTGTTGCGGAGCAGGTCTTCCTCCACCTTGCTGTTGTTGCTATGGTGGGGTGAGCGTTAGTAGTATCAGTGGGCCTGGTGTGGGAGGTGCAGTAGCCTTTAACTTGATTTACGTTTGTCGGGGTGAAGGGTATAGATATAGAGTCACCATTGGATGCTGTGATTGTTTTCTCTGGAGGTGGAGGCGTAACAGGCCGTGATTTTGGTGCCCTGAGTCCCAATTTGTCGAGAACTTTATGGTATTCCACTGCACCATAGGGCCTCGATGCAGCTCAACGTCTTATTCAGATAGATATGTAGTAAAATCAAAAACAATGCCCATATTTTGGTGTTGCGCCGGACTTATCGGATTTTAAATCGGGCATTACCAGGTATCGGGCACTTCCGGGTATATACGAATATCAAATTTGCCGCCAGCTCTAATTTAAATATATATATATATTATTTAATTTTAGAATAACTTTTTTATTTTCTATTAAAAAACTTTAATTTTTTTTAAAGTATAGAACGTAGTTAATACTTTTAAATAAAAAAATAATTATTAAATTTAATCTTATAAATATTTAAAGATAAGAAATTTAAATATCGCTTATTAAAGATCGCTTATTAATTCTAATTAAAAAGAATAATTATAAATTTAATTTATAGACCTTTACTCGTTTATATATATTAAGAATATACTTATAAATTTTTATAAAAAGTAATAGTTCGATTATCGAGTAATAATATATCGTAGTTATAGATTATTAAGTTTCTTTAAAATAATTTCGAGATCGCTTCGAGATAGCTCGCTTCGGGTTAAAGCTACTTCGAAATCTATTAATACTAATATATATCTAGAGATAAATATCTTATATCAGCCAAATTACCAAAAAAATGAGACTTAATAGAATTTTCTACTTAGATCTATTACGTAAAGCCTTTCTAAGACTAATAGTCGCTTTATTATTAATTTGAATTCAGCAAAAAGTAGAGTTGATCCTAAACTGAAACGCTAAATTTCGGACGGACAGTCATGTAATCAACGACCGAGGGCTTACGACCGTGCGTGGACCAGACAATTATCTCCGCTTACTCCGAGCTATCCCGACAATCTATGTCAGCCAATCATTCGTGCAGACGCCACTCGCCATAAAACCCGCTAGAGGTGGGGGCCAAGCATCGCTTGCCAACGCGTTCAACTACTTTTCACCCTTCTTCCATCTGTAACTCATTCCCCCTCCATATGTGAATACTATGCACCATCACAATGTCCTCCATCCGACGCCCGTAAGGAATCTCATGCGCACTCTTATCGATCTCGAAGTTGACCCTGAGCCCGCGAGCAAGCGCACCCGGCTGTCGCTAGACCAATTGCCAACTCCTCCCCACTCGACTCAAGACAGGTATCCTGAACAGCTCAGCTCTCTCTGCGACTCTTCAGACTGGCGAGAACGGCTCAAGTCATCGCTTCTCAGGCCTCTTGACAACCATTATCCGCATACTACCAAGCAGCTTACGGCCAACCCGCGATTGAGCGCCTGGCTCGACGCAGTTTCTCATCCTCGCGCCGATTCCTGTCCAGCCAGTCCTCATATATTTTCGCTACCGAGCTCCCCGTCTGGATCTCATTACGATCAGCTCAAACGTCCACAAAGTTGTGAAGCTCGTTTTGACCTTGTCAGGCATAAACGGCCAGCGAGCGGCTTAGACCCGAAATCTAAACGCGCTCGCTTGACTTTGACGGCACTCCAAAAAATGTCGCAGCAAGAATCACAATATGCTGAAAGCCTTGTACCTCGGTCCAACTCCTCGAGAAACAAGGCACCCGGTACTTCAGACGCTGCGTACGTAGATACGCTCTACAGCCACGGCATCGTTATGGACCTTTCAGGAAGGAAGATACCTAAAGAGCTTACGCCTTTGAAAGAGAGAATACTACAAAAGCGATCCTCACCACAACTAGATGACTCAGCTGTCTTCTCGGTCATGGACGCAGCGGAGGAGCTTGCGTATAATTCAGAAGGTCCAACAAACAAGATCCTTAGGACACCCATGTTTCCGCTCGGGTATGGTGGCTTGGTAGAGGGTGGAAACACTCAATGGAATACTGTCGCTATGCCTAACAACCCCCAATGTGACAACAAGCTCTCGGCGCCCAGACCCGATGCCTATCTGGCCTATCCGCGCGGTTCAAAATCTCCTTGGACGGTCAAACAAAACAACGTCATCAATCATCCTAGGGTACGGCCGTACTCCCAACCGGCAAAACGCAATACGTTTCCATCTCTCTCATTGGAGCTGAAGGCTGAATCCGCTGGTGGAGTGCTAACCACAGCGGAGGCGCAGGCTGCGGGCAGCGGATCTCATTCCGTCAATTCAATACTCTGGCTTCTTGAGGAGGCTAAGGCGGCTGGCCTCACTGAAGTAGACCTGATGCAGGACACTGTGTCTTTCTCGGTTGTGTCGTCTCACAGACAGGCCGTAGCCTACCTCCATTGGCTCGATCCCAAGGAGAGACATTTTTATATGTCTTACCTCCGATCATACTCAACTTTCGAGGCAGACGGCATTCGAGGGTGCAACAACACCATCAAAAACATGATTGATAACGCCAAGGGGCTTCGAAATATCAAGATTGGGGAAGCTCTTGTCACTCTAGAACCCATCAAAGATTCTTGGAATCCTCTACCTACCGTCACCAACCAACCAACGCCCAATAGCTCCTTTGTTGAAGACCCGAGATCCCGTAAGCGGGGGCGAAACGATTAGGCAAATTTTTGGTTGGACTGGCTTCCTCGGAGCCATCCATGGTGAGTATGTTCGCATGAGTATGTTCGCATCAGTCTCACAACATTCGGCTGACTTGCCTAGGGTATAAGTCGCTCCTTAAGGCTGGTATCCTTCACTGCGACATATCGATCGGCAACATCATGCTCACAGAGAATGAAGAGGACGGTTTCCTCATCGATCTTGACCTTGTTATCTGAATCAGCGATGATCATGCCTCTGGCGCACCAAGCCAGACAGGGACCAAGGTCTTTATGGCGATCGGTGCTTTACTTGGTGAGCCTCATAGCTTTTATGCATGATCTAGAGTCAGTAGTTTATATATATTAAATTACGAAGGTCGTAATGAGAAGGGCAAGTCTAAGCGTAGGATTGTTTCTAAATATGAGAAGTGAAACTACGCAAATACTGAAGAGCTAATCAAAATGAAATTAGATTAAATATCGAAACGCGGTTTCGATAATATGAATAAGAACTTTACCGAGCATTATAAATTACTAATTTCTTATATAAGAGAGTTATATAAGATGATATTTTCAAATAAAAATCTACGATTAAATAAACATCGAGAGCTTTATCTCGATATGAAAGAAATTTTAAAAAGACGAGAAATAATATAAATTTAAAGAATATATAGTAGCGCTAAGTATTATTAAGTTTAAATATAAATTAAGTTTATTAATCTTATCTTTTAAGAGCTTAATAATATTATCTTAATTCGATTATATAAGTTATTTTAATAATCTAATAGAAATTAAAACTTAAAGTATTAAAGTATTCTTTTATTTAAATTTATAGAAATATTACGTCTTTATAACTATTTATACTCTTATAAATAAGAACTATAGTTTTAAAATTATTCTTATAATCTACTACTTTATAAATTACGTAAATAGTTTATATTATAACTTATAAGTCGAGTATTATTTTAATATTACGACTCTTAATAGATATAAGTAAGATTTCTTAGAGAAGACTAAGTAGAAGAATATTAGAGAGGAAATATTAAACGAGATTAAGAGATTCTAGAGTGAAGAGTTTAATAGCAATCGGCGGGATATAATTTAGCGATAGAGAAAGCGATATTTATACTCGACTTTTACTTTCCTTCTAAATCGACTCTAAATATACGTCTACGCTAGAAATCGACTAAATAGAAACGCTTTTATAATAAGTTAATACGCGATATTAAGAGCTTAAGACGAATATCGTAATAGCTAAGAATTCTCGAATAATATAGTATATAATCGCTTTATCGAGTCGTAGATTATTACGCTAAATAAGAACTTAAAAAAGAGATCTTTAAAAAGAGATTAATATTCTACTATCTATAAAGATATCTACGATATATCATATTAATATAACGATTCTTACTTTTTTTTTTTTTTTTTTTTTTTTTTACTCTATTAAATCTTTAGAATATTATTCTAGACTTTCGCGTATTTAGAGATCGAATTTTTTTAGTTTAATATTAACTTCTTTAATATTTAATCGAATTACAAAAAAATTTAAGTCTTAAAATAGAACTATATTTTATTTTACTATTTTTTTAAGTTAAATTAAAAAATTTATAATATAGAGTTTAAGAATTAAAAGATTTAAGTATAAGTGTTAAAATTAGCATAGATACGATACTAGTATAGATAAGATAGAACTAGAATAATAAGGCTATCGAATTATATATATAGAAAGAAGATATAATATAGTAGAGAATATCTTCGTTAAGGCTCGCTAGTTATAGAGCTAAGTAATATATTAAGAATACGCTCGTAATACTACTCTCTCTCTTAAAGAGCCATAGCTTCTATAGCTAATAGATCGAAGATATACGCTTATTACTTACTCTATATCTCTAAATATCTATAGTTTATATAGGCCTCGATCGAAGAGAATTTATTAAGATATAGTAATATTAGTCGAAAATATTAAATCGAATATTAATCTTAATTATATTATTTATAGAGATTTTAAAGATACTAGCTATATCTTATTTACGTATTAATAAAATTCTTCGAGTTTTTTTTTATTATTATATCTATTAGAGACTTAATAATATATATAATAACTCTATATTATAGTATAAAGAGAATATTATCTATATAGAATTATTATAAGTATAAGCTTTATAGTAAGATAGAAAGATCGAAAGGCCTTAGTACGCTAAGTCTAATTGAGCTATAATATAAGTAAATAAGATTATAAAGTTATTAAAATCGTAATATTACCCCTTCCTTTAATTTTAAAACTTCGACGACGACTATTATATAGTAGATATCGATCTTATAAAAAGTATATCTAGGCGTATATAAAGTAATATTCTTAGATATATTAACTTAGTATTCTATTATGATATTAAAATTTTCTTATAAGTCGATATAGCTACTATAGATTAGTAGCGCTAATAGAGAAGATTATTTTAAAGGTCTTTTAAATAATAAATAAGGGCTAACGATCTTAAGATAATAATAATAAAAGTCTATTATTAGATTCGAATATTCTACTATATTCGTAAATAATTATTAGAATAGATTTTTCTCTATCTTAGGATCTCTATATCTAATTTTATATATTAGATATCCTCTCTCGCTAGTTAAGAAATTATTTTTTTATTAATTTAATTTAGATTAAACTATTTCTTTAATATCGTAAATTTTATCTTCTTTATTAATATCGATAAAAGATAATAAAGACTCGATCTATTCTAATAGTAAGTCGCTATTATTAAGATATAATAGCTATAAATAAAAGATAGAGTAAATATTATTTATAAAAGTTAAGAGTTTTAATTTATAAGCGAAGTTATTTAAAGTTTTAATAATTTTAAATAATTCGAAATTCTTATAATTTAATAATTTACTAAGATATATAATTTTAATATTTCTTTTATTAAATATAACTATATCTCTAACTCTAAATTTCGATACTAAGAGTTAATAATAATTAGCTTATTCTTTCTATAAAGCTTATAATTATTCGAGCTAACTTCTTAAATAATTTTTTATAATATTTATTTTTTTAATAAATCTATTAGCTAATTTAATATCTCTCTTCGCTCTTTAATTAGCGAATTAATTCTAAAAAATAAAGAGTTCTATTCTTAAGCGAGAAATATATTCTTTAATAAGAAGAAATAATAATACGCTTAATAAGACGTTCTTATTAAAGTTAATCTCGAACTCTATTATTAGTAATAGATTTATCTAATTATCTTAGTTATAATTAATATAAACTCTAAAATATTACTTTAAGATAGCGTTAGCGTTCTCTATCTATTTATTAATTTCGAGATAAAACGCAGTAAAGAGTTTAGATTTAGTTCTAATTCTTTTATATAGTTTTTTTTAAAAATATATTATAAATTAAATATCTTAATCGAAGATAATAATAAATAAATATTCTTTCTCTCGCTATATAAATTCGATAAAGATCTAAACTACTATCTTCACTTTCAGAAAGTCTAAAAAAACGAATTTCTTCTTCTTATTAAGTTTATTTATAATTATTATAATATATTAATAGAAGTAATTATATCTAAGATAAATAGATAGTAACGTAATAAAGTTAATAAAAATATCTTATTAATATTATTTAGAAATAGAAAGAAATTTAAGTAAATCTTACTTACTCTCTTTATAAGTCTTAAATCTTTTATAAATATAATAGCTCTTAATATAGTAAGTAATAAAATTCGTTATTCTTAATTAATAATAAAGCTTACTTACTCTATTATAAGTTAATAATCTATTAATATAATCTTTAAATAAAGAGTTATAAATATCTCTAATAATTTTAATTTATAATTTAAGAATATTTAATATATATAATTTATTATTAATATATAATAATCTATTATAAAGATAATAATTATCTAATTTTAATTTAAGATTATTCTTAATTATTTTAAATAATAGCTTTCTCTATCTAGATATCTTTAATTAAATAATTTCTTAAGCGATATTATTATAATTATAAGTATTTTTTATTTAATATAATAACTTAGAAGTATTAATAATAGAGACTTCTCTTAATTTTTCTAAGAATTTCTCTTAAGAAATCTCTATCGAGGCTTTTAATAATAATTCTTTATTAAACTTATTATTATTAATATTATCTTATTTATTAAATTTATATAGTATTATAATTAGAGAGATAATACTTTCTTTTATATTATTTAAAAGTATAATAATAAAATATATAACGTTCTTAATATCTTTATTAAGATTATTATTTTTAAAAATTATATAATATTAATAATAAGTATAATCGTTATTCTCGTTTTTAAATAAATCTTTTATTTATTAAGTAAGACTATTAGATTTAATATTTTATTTTCTAAATTAATAAATAATACGAAAGTTAAATTTAAAGAGAAACTTCGCTTATCTTATTTATTAAAAGTTAAGTTATTTAGAGAATATAAAATATTATAAATTCTTATAATTTAAAATAACTTTAATAGAGTTCTCGATAGAGATATTAGCTAGCTTAAAATATTATTTTTTAAAAACTTATATTATAATTATAAGTTTCTTATTATAAATATTATAAGTATACTCTATAGAGGATATCTTTTTAAAAAGAAATATTATAGATCTAACCCTATTTTATTTTTATTTTCTTATAATAGAATAATAGTAATTATAAAATTAGACGCGTTTATTTTTAATTAAGTTTTTTTATTTAAGTTAAAGTAAGTAAGTATAGAAGTAGTAATAAAAGCTTTCTTAAGTATTTTAAAAGCGAGTTATTTAGAGTACTCTTAGATCTATAAATAGATAAAGTCTTTCTTCTATTAAATATAAATAAAATTCGTTAGAAATATAACGATTTTAAAGTATCTTATAATAAACTTTTAATAGAAATTAGCGAATTTTAGAAATATTTATATATTTTTAATATATCTAAATTTCTTCTATTAAGTAATAATCTTAATTTTCTTTATATTTATTTCTACTTCTTTCGTAGTAATAATTAATTCTAAATATTTAACTCTAATAATATAGAAGTTATATTTATTAATATTAAGATAGAGATTAGCTTATTAAAGTTTCTTTAATATCTTTTTTATATATTAAATATACTTATCTTTAATATTACTATAGATAAAAATATTATCTAAATAAATAATATAGAATATATTTAGATATTCGCGTAAGATATTATTAATAAATATTTAAAAAGTGATAGAGGCATTATATAA